TCTAGACATATTTGAATAATACTCACGTATAATTTAAAAATGAATAAATATTGTAGGTACCTACAACATTTTAACTTGTAAATTGTATCGTTCGTTATGTCATTTCAATAAATTTTGTTAAAATATTATAAAATTTAGAATTTCGTATTGTTAGAATATTTGTGATAATTTCTCATGTTAAATGTAGTTGTATAATTAAATTATAACATATTTGCCCTATGATATTTTGATGAACAAGGAAAAATCATGTTTTTTCATGTTAGTAATACGATAGCGAGACATTTCGTTAAACAAATTGTTAAATTTTTAAGCGAAACGATGAACAGTGATTATGATAACGTATATAGATTGAAATCGTTGAAACGGCGACGTTAAGATTGTCGCATAAAAACAACCTCACGTGAAAAGATGATCGTTTGCACGATTTGATATAAAATCGATTTTGTATGAAACAATAAAAATGGAAAAGAATTATTAATCAAATGATCAAGGATAAATTGTATTATTCTCCATAAATTAGTAGTAGATCGCAAGCGCTTCTAAATTGCACATGTTATGTAACGTTAGTTAAAATGTACTGTTAATTACTTTAAAAACAGTACAGTGCATAAAACTGTATACACTAGAAACAGTTTTGAGATAGTAACTCGTATGCGTATGTTTCTATGTACCATACTACATTAAGTAAGTACATTAACAAACATCAAACACAATTAGAGCGTAATCGGATTTTAGATTTCAGTTCATATTCTCTTAATTAAACCGACGAGAACGTAATGTAGCTGCCTGTCTTACTGTATGACGTTTAGACTCCAAAGGAATTAAAAATTGTGCATTATCGAATGAATATGATACTGATTGGCTTAATAATTATGTACAATCAATTATTAATGATATTATTCGTTATTATACAGATAAATTCTTATTCAATCCAATCCAACAAAAATAGCAAATGCATAACATCAATTTAAACAGTAATCGCCAATTTGACTCGCGACCATTCGTAAGTTTTTATCCATGTTTAGTGATACCGAAGAGTGTGCAGTTCGTTAACAGCATTTTCTCGAGTGTCAAGTGGACCTCTCGTTGCAAGAAACAGGGAATGGGGTATGGGTGGTGGGCAGCAGGCACCGAGCGAGTGCGCGCGCGTGTCGTCTATCGTTATCTTTTTTTCTCGGCCCTTTCTCTATCTTTCTTGCACCTACGTGCTCTCGCTCGGAGTACGTTCGCGCTCGAAGCCCCGGTCGCTGACTACGTATCCCCTCGACAGCCGGACGACGATGCGCATGCGCTGCTGCGCGATTATGACGTCATGTGCCATGACGCCACTACACCCGATTGGCGGAGCGCGTCGTAGCAGTCGTTGTGTCGTCGTCGTCGTCGTTGTGACTTTTTAGACGACTGAGGGACGAAGCGGGGTTAATGGTAGTTTCGAGACCGGCGAGGGGGAAGAGAGCGACACCCGTAGCTCCGCTTTGCCGCCGCATTCTCGAGCGTTCGTCTCCGTTCGTCTCCTCGTACGGCAACCAAGCGAGCGAGTGCACGTCGTCGTGTCGCGCGCATACCATTATTTCGTGTCTCGTGTTCAACCTAGAATACGGTTTCTCGAGTATACGCGTTCATCGGTCAGCTAGCTATACGTAAGCGGTGTGTCGGTATCCAATGGCGGTTACATCTTGAAGCTCCTGTGATTAACGTGCAAACGGATTTTATTGGGAGGCTAAAGTTTGTGGTAAAAATATCTGGCGTCCGAGTAACATGCTCTTCTTTTTCTCACTGTTCCGCCTTTACGGCGCATTTCTCATCGTTCCCACGATTTTTCATGCTACGATAAATTGAATACGTGTTGTTCACTGAAATCCCGAAGCAAATAATAATTCGCGACGAACCTTCTGTCGAGCTTCGCCGATCCATGGAGTTTGAATTGTAACACTCGTGGAAAGGAAACGTGAAAGACCTGGTGAGAAGAGTAATACTCGAGTGATTTCTTGTGAGTGGAGTTGAATTTTGCCTTCAGTGTTTTTAGCTCACTGAGACTAACGTTCATAGTCTCCTGTGCCGAATATGCAATAAAACTTCGACACTGTGCTGCGTTGTTTCGATAATAGTGCTTGTGAGAGAAAACATAGAAACAGCATAACAGTAGACAGTGCGAAAAGTGGATGTGAGTGATTCACTGTGTGGTATATTGCGTGACGACGACGACTCGGCGGAATATCAACGAAGTCGAACGACAAAATGATGGGGAAGAGGACGCAATGCTATCTGTGCGATCTGCCCAGGATGCCCTGGGCGATGATCACGGAATTCTCAGAACCCGTGTGCCGCGGTTGTGTGAATTACGAGGGTGCCGACAGGATAGACGCGGTATTGGAATCTGCTAAACAGATGAAAAAGGCACACGGTTTTCACGAGGCAAGATCCTCATCGTCCAAGGCGTACAGAACATCCGGACACACCGAACACAACGGCGGTACCAATTTGGACGTTCTGCCCATACAGAACACCGGGCAGAACCATTCGAGACATCATAATATCACCGGTTACTCTCAGCTTCATCATCGAAACTCCATCACAGAGTTCAACTCTGGTACATCGAGGCAGCAGATATCTCGGCAACACGAGGACACGCACGAACAAATCGCAAACGGCATGAGGAGTAATAACGTGAGAATACCGAACGCCCACTTAACCGCGGTGGCACATCACGTGAATCTCAGCCACAACAGAGGTATCGCACAACTCAAGCGGGGTATTTCCACTATCGACGAGGACGAGCACGTGGAGAAGAAGCTATCGTTGGAGGAACAGCATACAGTCAGGCCGCCATTGACTAGGGGCGACTCTTTGCCAGCTGTTAGCTTGGCAGTCAACTATATTCAGGATCGTCTAAGCAAGGAAAAGCATCCTGTGAGAGCAACCAGTTTCGAAACGGCCACTACGTTCAAAGCTAATGGTACGCTAAATATTCGGATGACATGATGAAGGTTTACGACTCGTGTTGCAAACAGATTTCCGGCTTTAAATCTGCAGAATTCCTTGTAATTCATCATTTTCGATCAAATACTATTCTTGGAACTTCCCGGGAATTTGTTGAATCAACACACGATTTTTCCGGAAACTGAGATTATTTTTATACATAACAGGAGTCGGAGCTATACTTTTATTTCTACAATATCGATCGTAATTGGAAACATATTACATACCCTTCCTAATCTCTAATATATTTACAGT